GCAGGGGGCTCTGCGCGAGTGGTGCCCCTGGAATTGAAACAAAAGACGGAACCACTCACGCGTCTCCCGCAGCCACCCCAGCCCAGCTGGTGCCCCTCACTCCCGACCCGCAGCCCCTGCCCCCCCCCCACCCCGTGGGCTCACCCGAGGGAGGGGCTGCTGCGGCTGCTCTTCAGGCCCAGGCTCCTCAGGTTCTTGACGCCCTCGTCCCACTTCTCATGGCTGCTCCAGAGCGGGCTGGAGTCGGCGCCCCACTGCGAGGGGCTGCTCAAGCCGAGGCCCCCGTGCTGGGAAGGGAAAGAGCTGAGGTGCGGCCACCTCTGGGGCGGGGCGGCTCGTTCCACAGGGGATGGCTCAGGGACACTACTCCTGGGTGGGGCGAGCACTGTGACTGGGGCGGGGAAGGTACTTCCCCAGATGATGGGGGGGAGCAGGGGACCGGCCTGGCTGTGGGCAGGACATAGGAGGTCATAGTGATGGGGGAAGGTTGGGGGCCGGGCCGGGGAGATCCTGGGGGCGGGGCCTGGCTGGGGGCCGGGCCGGGGAGATCCTGGGGGCGGGGCCTGGCTGGAGGCCGGGCCCGGGGAGATCCTGGGGGTGGGGCCACTCACCGCTCTCTGCTGCGCCCGCTGCTGCTTGTGCAGCTGCCGCTCGCTCTCCTGCAGCTCCAGCAGGGCCTTCATGCCCCCGGGGGGCTTGGCCAGCCCCCCCCAGGGCGCTGCGCTCTGCGCCTGGGTCTGCTGCAGCAGCTTCAGCACCAGCTCCTGCTGCCGGCACTGCGGGGGCAGGGGCGTTACTGGGGGCAGCCGGCCCAGCCCCGGGGACGTCACCCACACGACCCTCGGCTTCCCCCAGGACCACCAAGTGGGGATCTGTGGGCGCCGGAGGAGGGGGCAATGGCCCCCCTCAGACAGCCAGGGTCTCCACCTTCCATGGGAGCCCCACAATCCCTCTGGAGAGCAGACCAGGGCCCCTAAAACACAGGGGTAAACTGACGCCCAGAGGTGCACTAAAGGAGAAAGAACCCAGGAGTCCAGGCTCCCAGCCCCCCCTGCTCTAACCACCAACCCCCCTCCCGTCCCAGAGCTGGGGAGAGAACCCAGGAGTCCTGGCTCCCAGCCCCCCCTGCTCTAACCACCAACCCCCCTCCCGTCCCAGAGCTGGGGAGAGAACCCAGGAGTCCTGGCTCCCAGCCCCCCCTGC